CACACACACACACACACACACACACACACACACACACACACACACACACACACACACACACACACTGCTCTCTCTCTGTAAGTGTGTGTGTGTGCGAATCCGACGCCCCCTCCCCCCTTGGGGATGAGAGGAGGCGGCGGGTGAATCAACGACACAATTTTGAATGCGTCAGTGAGCCAATTAGCAGGAACGACTTTGAACAAGTCGGGAAGTCAATCAACAGCCTCGATTTGGGAATACCAGCGCGCCAATCAAGAGGTTCCATTTTGGAATGTGCCAGCAAGTCAATCAGCGGGCTCGATGTTGTAATGTACTAGCTGCAAGCCAATCAGTGGCCTCGATCTTTAGTATACCCGTGAGCCAATTAGCAGGCTCAATTGGAGTAGCCTTGATTTTTGAGAGTGTCTGAGAGCCAATCAGCAGGCTCGATTTTGCGTATGCCCGCGAGTCCATTAACAGGCTTGATCTTTGACTGTACCGGAGACCCAATCAACAGGCTCGATTTTGAATATGTCAGCGAGCCAATCAGCTGGCTTGATTTCGAAAGATTCAGCAAGTGAATCAGTGGACTTGATTTTCAGTGAGCCAGCAAGCCAATCAGCGGGCTCGATTTTGAGTACGTCTGCGAGCCAAATTAGCGGCCTTGATTTTGAAAGTTCCAACAAGTGATTCAACGGACTTGATTTTAATTGTAGCAGCAAGCTATTCAGCGGATTCGATTTTGAGTATAGTCGTGAGCCAATCAGCAGACTCAATTTTCAGAATATATCAGCGAGCCAATCAGAGGGCTCGATTTTTGGGTGTACACAGAGAGCCAATCAGCAGGCTCAATTTTGAGCATACCCGCGAGCCAATTAGCGGGCTTGAATTTGAAAGTTCCAACAAGTGATTCAACGGACTTGATTTTAATTGTAGCAACAAGCTATTCAGCGGATTCGATTTTGAGTATAGCCGTGAGCCAATCAACAGTCTCAATTTTCAGAATATATCAGCGAGCCAATCAAAGGGCTCGATTTTTGGGTGTACACAGAGAGCCAATTAGCAAACTCAATTTTGAGCATACCCGCGAGCCAATTAGCGGGCTTGATTTTTGAGTGAATAAGTAAATAAATTAATAAGGATAAACGCTTTCTCTTTCACACACACAGCGCACTCCCTCTCTCTGTCCGCAGTCTCTCTCTCTCGCTGTGCAGTCAGTCTCCCTCACTCCCTCTGTCTGCAGTCCCTCTCCCTCTTACTCACAGCAGCGCTCACTTTCTTATTGACAACAACGCTCACTCTCTCTCTCACTGGTGGTAACTCTCTCCCCCCCGTACTTGATTGGGTTCGCTGCTCCATTGTGTGGTTGGGTCCCCTCTTCGCGCGTGATCTAGTTACCTTTCGTTCTTGATTGGCACGCATGACATGAGCCTATCCCATTCACGTTGGCCATGACCGCCTCAAGAGCAGGCACGGAATGCCATTGACCAGCTTACTGCGTTCTCTGCGGTTGTTGTCCATGCGCACCGTTCCCCCCGGTCGCCTCAGTCCCCAATGAAAAAAAAAACCATGTCCTTCCGCTGGCCCAGCTATATCCCGCTCTCACGGCCTCGTTTTAGGTCCAAACAGTCCGCTGCAGCAGGCCCAGCCTTGCAGTCCCACTAGCACCTTGGCCCAAAAAGCCCTAAGATCATTTGTACGAGTGGCCTCAAGCCCGTAGCAGCTGCTGGGCCTGCCTTGGTACCAAGGGTTTTTGGATTGGTAGCCCAGGATCCCTGCGCCAGTACCCGTATCGTCTCCGCTGGTCCGCAGCAAGTACCAGGTCGCGCCAAACTGTCGTATGAATAGTTCCAGTTCCACCGATTCGACCGCCGATGTAACCATCGAGTTATCCACCTCACCGAAGTGTCGGAATAAAACACCACTCAATGCCGAGTTTACCATGTTCAGGCATACAATGGAAATCCGGTAAGTTAAGGCAACGCATACCCAATAATACCCGATTACAACTAGGGTAAAACTCAGATAAATCCCGATAAGATCAGCGAGGGAAACTAGATAGACAATATCCGCTTAAATCAGAGAGGAGAATTAAACAGGTAAATCGGGGTTAAATCAACAAGACCGTAGTTAGGCAAAATTTGTTAAATAATAAAATAATCACTTGTTTCTATTCCTTTTTTTTTATGTTTATTTTTTATTTCATCTTAAAATTAAATAAATCGAAGGCCTCATTTTCCCATCAACTGGTCCGCGCGGAAAAGGCCGCGCGAAGGCCTACTGGCATACCCTCGCCCGATCGGTGGGTTTGAAGGCACCCTCAGATTAGGCGAAAAGGGTAAGCACCAGGCGCGGTGGAAGTGGTTATCTAATCTTCAGGATTTGAGGGTCAGTATTGACAGTTGATAAAGGGGATTTCAGAGTTAATCTCTGGACCCCTAATTTTCCCCGACAGTTCCAACAAGAATACCCAAAGAATCCTGTCTAAGTGCCCTATCGAAGCCCCGATTCCCTCAATTTCGGGTGGCCGACTGGTCTGCAGTCGCCCGACAATGGACTGTTGACGTGGCATTGGAGCGCTACCTACGTGGCAAGGTGTGAGGGTCCTGACGTGGCATCCAGATATTGGCAGGGTATTGTCTGACGTGGCACTTACCTGTGTCACGAGTTACCTGCTGACGTGGCGCTCCATACTCCAACGGTACCTTCGATCTGACGTGGCATACCAGTGGCGAATGAGTTGGCAGACGGTGCAACGGGGCACCCTTCTGGAAGCCCTAATGGCCATTGGCGCTGATATGACAACTCTGCGGAGGTGTTGCGTCGGCATACCAGGGTGACACGTGGCAGGGATTGTGCACTTCCATTGGTGGGAGATTGATACTTGCACTTGTGTTTGCTGGCGGGCGGTACAACATCACGAAAGGCTATAGTGCCACGCGTCGGCACTTGTGCCTTGCTGCATTGGCATTCCCAAAAGGATAGTCAGAAGAGGATGAGCTGCTGACATCTTGATTGATTGTTGTTTTGTTGGCTGACTCTACTCATTGTGGGCTGTTTTGTGGATGTCTGGTACTCACCAATTGTGTGTTGTCTTGATCACACTGGTCGTGGCTGCGATACCTGTACCACTCTCAGAATAGGAACGTCATCACTCAGAACAAACAGCAGAATTAGAAAAAGAGTAAATAGGAGAATCAGAAACTGCTGCATGTCTACTACGGGCCCTGGGAAGTTCTTAAGGAGATTGGGAATGCAGATGGACCCTCATACAGATTTGGCGTACCCCCACACCTCAAGACCTATCCTGTGTTTCACGGATCTAAACTGCTGCCATATGTAGAGGGACATGATTTTCCCAACAGGCCATCTATGTTTCCTCCTTCAATGAATGTTGGCTATGAAGTTGAGAAGATACTGGAACATGGATACTTCTCAACAGGTGGTTGAGGAACACCGCAGAAGCAGTTCAAGGTAAAGTTTAAGTCTCAAGTTCTCAACCTCCATCTGAAGCTAGATGGTTTAGCCAGAAAGAACTATTACCTACAACTCTTGCCATTATCTCTGCATATGAGCGCAGTTTAAAAAACAGTTAATGTATTTCTGCGATGGAACTTGAAAATTGGGCCAGCAGGAATGCAATAACCTGCTTCAATATGCCTTGTTGTTGTCGATGGGCCCACCTACAGGCCCCAACGCCGGCCTAAGGCCGCGTTGACCAAGGGGTACAAAACCCCTCAAATTGGCTTCAGGGGCCCTGCGCCCGACAGTTGTACAGCGGCCCATGAGTCAAAGTCTGCATGGACCCAGGCCAGGCCTCTCCGATCAGACACACACACTTGTTTGTACACAGGTATCCAGACAGCATTTGGTCCAAGTGGAAGTCTGCCTGTAAGAGATCCAGGTCGTCTGCTGTGATTCAATCCGAGCCTCCGTTAGTGTGAGACCAGAGGCAGGTCAACTTCGTCAACACTACTTATTTACCCTGCCTCCGGGAGTCAACAGTCAGTCTTGCCTTGCTGACATGACGCTGGCTTGACGCTGGCTAGATGCTGGTGCGACACTGGCTTGACGCTGGCTGGACACTCCCACTGTGTGACGACGACGCGAGACTGCTGCCACGCATCCTGACGCCTCCCTGCTCTAGCGCCAGCTGTCTTCCTACTTGCTAACGTGGCGCAGGCCACACTATCTTCCTAGTTGCTGACGTGGCACATGCCACACTGTCTTCCTACTTGTTGACATGGCGCATGCCACACTGTCTTCTTACTTGCTAATGTGGCGCATGCCACACTGTCTTCATTGCTGATTGGGGACGCGACAAGGAGGGAGATTGGGATCTGTGGATTGACGCACACACACACACACACACA